TTGCGTAACATGATGAATCTATAGTTTCTTGATTTTATGTAGTTTGATTTAAAACTTTTTATTGTAATTTTGTTGATAGAAGTGTATTGTATCACGTTTTTCATCCTAAAAATTCACGTTTCAAACCTTTATCCAATTCCATCTGAATTAAGCTTCAGCACACCATTGATCCATTATTCACCTTTCGTGACAGTATACAACCAGAATGTCACTTATAGTGAAAGTTTCTGTTCCTTCAGCCATTGATCCATTATTCACTTTTCGTGACAGTATACAACCAGAATGTCGCTTGTAATGAAAGTTTCTGTTCCTTCAGCCATTGATCCATTATTCACCTTTCGTGACAGTATACAACCAGAATGTCACTTATAGTGAAGGTTTATGATCCTTCAGGCATTGATCCATTATTCACTTTTCGTGAAAGTATACAACCAGAATGTCACTTATAGTGAAAGTTTCTGTTTTTTCAACCCTTATTCGCTCATGTCTATAAACTAGTCTATTCTTTACCAATCGTTACAGTATACAAACAGAAGGCTCCTGGTAACATCGATAAAGAAACTCTCTTCTACCCCCTGCAAGGCAATCAGTCTCCACGTGAGAAGTCCGTGCTTATCGACGTAACTTCTAGGACTGTCACTTAGTTCTCAACTAGCCTATCGTATCAATACTTCTTCCTGTTGTTGTCTCTTTGGGTGTTTCGTTTCGAAATGTAGAGCTTGAGGTTTGTTCCATGGTTTGAGCAGTCTTTATTACCAAATCTTACACGCTAATAGCGGCCTTTATTTCCAGATCTTACAAGCTAATAGCGGTCTTAATTACGAGATCTTACAATCTAATAGCAGTCTTTATAATCAGATCTTACAATCTAATAACGGTCTTTATTCCCAGATCTTACAATCTAATAACGGTCTTTATTCCCAGATCTTACAATCTAATAATGGTCTCTTTATCAGATGTTACAATCTAATAGCGGTTTTTATTCCCAGGTCTTTCAATCTTATAGCGGTCTTTTCCTCAGATCTTACAATCTAATAGTGCTTTTTATTCCCAGATCTTACGATCTAATAGCGGTCTTTTTCTCAGATCGTATAATCTAATAATGGTCTTTTCCTCTTGATTTTATCATTCTGTTCTGTATCACCAACGCAGTGATAATAATTATCTTTCTTATTATGAAATAATGTCACACAAACTCCCCATCTATAAATCGCGTTTCGACAGCATACTATATTACTCTGTTCCTGTTTTCAGAGCTTTAAAGCATATTCACGTTTTTTATGTTGTTTTCGACTTGAAACCTATAGATTCGGCAGTATTTAAACAAAATACTCATCAAATTTTTATTTTTTACCTAGTTGTACCACAGTGAAACATACTTGGTCAATGAGTTAGGTTGGTAACTCAATTGAATGGCTTTTTTTTAATAAAAGCTATGGGACGCCACGACTACAAAAAGTTCTTTGAAATGTTGTTTTGTTTTTGTAGATCTATTGATCTAAACTTTCTATTGGTAAGATTTTTATTAGTAACTGTTGTTTTGAATGATTGAGCTTCGAATGAAGATATCTTTACGGGTTTACTTTTTCATACGGAGAAGTACAACCTAATTTCGTAGAGATTCGTATTCTTTTGGTGACAAATGTATGGGTATGTTCTTCTTTCAAAACTTTTTACAGCCTAGTTTTGGTTACTGAAATGACTCTGAAGCTCATCTAAATCGTTTGTTGAGTGTGGCTTTACTAAACGTGTCAAATGAAGACGAACTTAAGGTTTTCAGTTGATGCATTTAAAGCGCATGCTCCGAAGGACTTCATTTCGAAATTCCAGACGGTCGCTGAAAATGATGAGTCAATTGGTCATTGACCATGTTGAATCTGTTAAAATCCAGGAGATTTGGATAGAATCCAAATACAGTTTAGGTTACGTATTTTTAGTTTATATCTCACGTACATCCATACCGTACACATCACCGTATTTACTTTAATAGTCACAAACATTTTAAATCTTCATTCAGTGGTTGCAAGCTAAAAACAAACACGTATACACACATGGACCCATAACTGAATCTGAAACAAGACGTTAAGAAATACTATAATTGAAAGCTTATCCGAGCGATTAAACGAAAACCAAAACACATACAAGTAATTATAATAATAGACCTTACTGTTTGACATTCCAATAATTATAGATTTTTCTCGAAGTGTCTAGTTTGTACAATATATTTCGATAACACTCTTTCGAAGCTTGAATCTATGTGTTAATAAAGGTTGTCTTGTATATTGCAAATTTTGTAGAGTCCTGGTTATTATATGACAGGGCAGTCAAAAAAAAACTCATTTTTCCTGTTTTTTATATGTATACATTATTACAAACTTTGTTGCCCTAACATTTTTTTTATATTGTTCTTCTGCGTTACATAAACATGTGACAGTATATTCATAATTTCTCTGAACTAATAAGTATCTGACAATGTACTTATCATTTCTGTCAAATCATAAATGTGTGATATAAATATCTTACAGGATATTTATAACTAGTTGGAGTACCAGTGCCCTGGACGGAAGTTATATAAATTAATGATTAATGAACGTTATCTTAGGATATGAAAAGTTGCTTCCCTTATGTGTAATTATAAAAAACAAAAAAAAACGCAAAAACGCTCATATAAACTGCAAAACATAAAATATGAAACCCCAAATTTGC